GGGGGAAAAAGAGAGAGAGAAAAAAAAACTCATATCTTGGTAAATCATTTCGGTTCCCAAAATCTGTGAACTCCCCTGTTTAAATCAAACCCTGTTCAGCTGTTCTTCATTCATCTGTAAGTTTTTCTTCTTTTTTTTTTTCCCTCTCAATTTTTGTCCTTTTTAATCAACTGTTTCCTTAATCTGCCCCAATAAAAAAAAAGGTTATTTTCTTGGGTTGCTTTCTGCTTTTGCCCATGTGTTTTACTTTTCTGCTATATCTTGATTTCTTGATGTCTGATTAGTTGAAATTACTTTTGGGGCATGAGTTTTTTCTTGGAATTTGAACAGTTACAACTGATATCATGAGATGGGCTTGTGCTTTTCTTTAGTATTTATAAGCCTATTGCCTCCAGTCTTGGATGAACTAAACAACAGAGCTGTTTATTCTTCACATTTTATTTTATTTTTTTCCCTATATTTGTAGTTTCAAGGCTCAAGAGGGTGATTACAATTTGCTGCTGTAGTTCAGAGCAATAAAGTTTCTATCTTTATGTCCCAAAAGCTCATTAGGCTAAACTGAAATTTTTTGGGGGGACATTATTTGCTAATTTTGTTAGGTGACTTCTTTTTTTGTTTTTTTTTTTATATATATTTGTAGGTTCAGGGCTTCAAGAGGGTGATAACAACTTGCTGCTGTAGTTCAGAGCAATAAAGTATCGATCTTTATGTTCCAAAAGCTCATGAGGCTAAACTCAATTTTTTTTTGGGGGAACATTATTTGCTAATTTTGTTAGGTGACTTCTTTTTCTTCATATCCTTTGTGTTTGCCTTTGAGTGTACATGTTCAAGGTTTCTCTTGTTGAGAGAACTCTCTTTTGAGTATTTAGATTCATTTCACACTTCACATCCCAGCTATGTACTATTTCCCTTTCCAATACCAAAATTACTCCGATTAACCGATAAACGACACCCATTCGCTTTGTTTGGGAATGCAAAGAGTTCGAATCTCATCACACCAATCGCCCGTCCACAAGCTCGGGGACTCCCAAATGACCTTATCCCCAAAATTCAAGCTTGGCCCTACCCGCGACCCATCACTTCCCGACCCAACCCTAGAAGAAACCCACGACCCCCTAATCCCGGGCCTCCCTGATGACGTGGCGCTCCAATGCCTCTTGCGGGTCCCGGTCGACCAACACCCGTCTTGCCGACCCGTCTCGCGACGATGGTTCTCCCTCTTCGGTAGAAAGGAGCGATTCTTCACCCTTCGAAAGGAGCTCGGTTTTCACGACCCGTGGCTTTTCGTATTCGCCTACCACAAATGCACCGCGAAAATCGAGTGGAAAGTTCTTGATCTCATTCGCCTCTCGTGGCACTCGATTCCCTCCATGCCGTGCAAGGATAAGGTTTGCCCGCAAGGGTTTCGTTGCGTTTCGACTCCTAAAGACGGGGCTTTGTACGTTTTCGGTGGTGTGGTCTCGGACGTCGATTGCCCTCTCAACTTGGTGTTAAAATACGAGGCGCGTAAGAACAAATGGACCGTGATGAAGAAAATGATCACGGCTCGATCGTTTTTCGCGAGCGGAGTTATAGACGGGATGATTTATGTCGCAGGTGGGAATAGTACGGATCTTTTCGAGCTAAACTCGGCGGAGGTCTTTAATCCGGTTAACGGGCTTTGGAGGCCCGTTTCGAATATGAGGTCCAATATGTCATCTTACGACTCGGCCGTTCTTGATGGGAAGCTTCTAGTGACGGAAGGTTGGTTTTGGCCGTTCTATGTGGTGCCTCGTGGGCAAGTTTACGACCCGATAACCGATAGTTGGGGTAGTATGGCGATCGGGCTTCGAGAGGGTTGGACGGGCTCGAGTGTGGTGATTGATGGTCGGTTGTTTGTGGTGACCGAGCACGAGAGGACGAAGGTGAAGGTTTATGACTCGGGTAGCGATTCTTGGGAGAGTGTTGATGGGCCCGTGTTGCCGGAGGAGATATGCAAGCCCTTTAAGGTGGGGAGTTGGGGGTGGGAGATTTATGTGGTGGGCCGGAATTTGCATGTGGCTGTGGGCCGGGTTGAGAGGGCTGGGTCGAAGGGGTTTCGGGTCGAGTGGCGGGTCGTGGATGCACCGGGGTCGTTGTTTGATCTTACGCCAGCTAGCGCGCAGGTTTTGTTCGCTTAGAAAGTGCGGTTCGTGTGGTTTTGTCTGTGTGTGTGTTTGTTTTTGTGTGTGTGTGTGTGTGTGTTTTTTTTTATTTGAATATTTATTGCTTGTTGTTGATGTTGATTGTGAAATTTCATGTTAGGTTATATTGAGGGGATCATCTCAAGAAACTTAGAGACATTGTATTGTATGAGAGTGAGTGTTGTGTGGTGTAAATGTGTAATCTATTATTTGTCTATCTATATAGGTACTGAAGTTCATTAGATGTTATATTTGAGTTGTGATTATCCTTAATTGAAATGAAAATAGTGGCATGCTTGATCTTGTGTGGTCTCAATATTACATCCCATTTTATTTTAATTTTTTAAAATTTGCTTTTGATGGCTTACCACATTGTGTGGTGATGGTTAATAATTAATCCTAAAGGGGCAGTATTAATTTTATTTTTTATTTTTTTGGTTCATGCACTTGATGAATATTTTTTATCCCTTGCTAATGACATTTGACTGATCAAATTACCCGTGTTATAGTGATTTGATCACATTTGTGTCCCCACACAATTTGTAATTTTTCACACTCACATTTGTTGTGTATTATTGGATTTTATCATCACTATTATTATTTTTTTTCTAGTATCAAGCTGAAAAGTTTGACCAGTCTACCTAGAGTGGCTTGTGTTTCGAGTATTAGATGTTTACACTTGTCTTTTGAAACCATTTGAGCCGCAATCTAGACAAACTTTGTTAGCTTCAAAAGGAACAATAAAAAAATTGCAAGTTACTTGTTTTGTCAAGTTATTATTTATCCTTTTAACCAAGAAATTGTAATTTTCACCAACTATTTAGATCTCATTTTTTGAATAAAAGAACCAATAATTTGGAGCAAACAAAAAGTTGTGTGAAGTTGGGCATGTTCAAATCCATTTAGTGGCTCCAAAAGAGCTTAAAGAGAGAGCCATATGATTTTATTGAACGTCGCATTCATAAATCAGATGGATCATGAATCATATTAATTCAATCTGCACCTAATACCACGCACTTTATTTTTTTAAAACCAATAAAATATTATATATAAATGCACTATAACTAGGGTGTGTTTGTCTATATATATAAACGTAATACTCAAAATTTAATTCTACTTTAATTTCACCACACTATCATCAATATTACCAATATAATAAATAATACAAATCAATCATTCTTATGTATCATATCAACTTTAATTCACTATTCATTCACTCATATAATTTTAACTAAACATCACATTACATCATCTCTATCCTATATTTATATCAAAACAACTTTACTTATTTTACTTCAAATATTATTTTAATATAAACTCAAAATCTCATTAACAACTAACAATATCACTTTTTTCAAAGTTAACTATAGTTAAANTATTTGTATCCAACCGTGTCCTAACAAACTCAAACATAGCCTAGAGACAACAGAAGAAAAGATAAAAAAAAATTATATATATACATATATTGAATCAAAGAATGCTCGATGGGTTGACCCAATAGGCAATAGTAAAAAACACTCCAGTCACCAACAGTGAACTCTTTCCAATAATAATTATGATGACTAGGACACTCTAAAAACGGAGACTAATTTTATTTTATTTTTTTATTCCAAAAAGAAATATCTGGTAAACCTGGAATTGAGTCAACTAAACCACAGTTCAATTATGGTACTACCATTTTCGGTGAGAATTTCTATTTCATACGGTTTTGACCAATTTATTTTTTGATACTGACTTTACCAAATAAACACTCCATGTGAGCATATGGCTAGATTTACCTGAATTCCAACCATCTTCATCACGGGTGCAGAATTAAGTAATTGTGGGAGAAGGAAATTCTTTTCATTTTGTGGGCCCCACAGCCATTTAGTAGGAGAGTTCACATCGACATCGACCCAACCTCTACCACATATTTTTATTTAAAAAAATAATAATAAATAAAATAAATAAAAAAAGCTTTCATATCACCCGTGAAATAATCTCATTCAGTCCTGTGATAGATAGAGACACAAATTTTTGAAAACACGTCTTAAAAGCTAAAATTTGAAAATATACATAACAGTTATACATAAACATCACAAGCCAAAATAAACAAGCAGACCTATTTGATTGAGTTCCCTCCTGTACACAATTTTTGGTCATAGGATTTCATCAAACTTCTGATAATAGTGCAGAGGACATTATTTCCATNTGAAAAAAAAAAAAAAAGAAAAAAGAAAAATAAAGCTATAGTAGTACCATTTGTGATCGGCTTATCAAGCAAGGTAATTGTATACTTGAGGGTTGCTCTTGTCACGTTCGAGGTATTCTCGGTCTATGAGGCTCTCGATCCTTTTCTTCAGGTCGGCTGGCTTTATCGGGAACTTGAGCTGTATCGATCAAAATGAATACCCATCATTTATCGAGAAATTACAAAACAGCCCCTTTTTTCGGGTTATAGTCTATTCGCGAAAGAGAAGGAATGGACCAATACATTTTCCAAGACTACAAAAAGCAAATGCCCCACTTGTATAGCTATACGGTAGGTGTTCTTTTCGATTGTCTAACTAACGTCTAATGGTTAGGCAAGCCACTCTCTTTCAATATGTGTAGAAGTATTTTCTCACTCAAATGTCATAAATGCAATATAAACAAAAGTATGAATAGCTATACGGTAGTTTTCTTTTTGATTGTCTAACTAATGTCTAATGGTTAGGCAAGCCACTCTCTTTAAATATATGTTTTCACACTCGAATGTCATACTTTAAAATGCAATATAAACAAAAAATGAATAGTTATACGGTAGTTGTTCTTTATGGTTAGGCAAGCCACTCCCTTTCAATATATATGTAAAAATATTTTCACACTCAAATGTCATACTTTAAAATGCAATATAACAAAAGCATGACATCTCATATCATTAGCATTTGTGATAGCTATACTATATTACAAATTGCACCATCTATCAATTTTAATAACTCGAGGGCCTACTTGTAATTTATGGATTTGGATGGATTTGGTTAAAACTCGGTGGTGGTTTTTGTAATTAGACCGAACAATTAAAGCAGAACTTCAGAAAAGGGACTCTTTCATTTTACCTGCTGGAAGAGTTCGGTTATCAACAGAGTGTGGCTCAGCACTTTTCTCGTCTTCATTATACGAACAATGGCAGCATCAATCTGTTGA